ACCACACCATTACTATAATTGTTGTTAAGTGCCATAAAGTTAGTTCTGGCTCATAGCAACTCTGTATAGGGTTTCCAAGGAGCAGATGATGAGTCTAACTAGTGTACCTTTTTTTTTAAAAAAAAGGTCCAATTTAAAATAGTGGCTTCCAAGGGGATCTGCTTGACCAGTTAAATTCAAGACAAAAGACTGAAGTTGCCAAAGACTTCATTTTGCTTTGATCAACCATCAACCCTCATGGAAACAGCAATCAAGAAACGAAACGATATATTTATTGCATTAGCTAAATCTGCTGCACAAGACCTCTTTAACGTGTTCAAGAACAAAGACAACAGTTTGAGGACTAAGGTGTGCCTGACCCAAGCCATGGTATTGTAGTCTCAATCTCATGTGCATGCGAAAGTTGGACAGTAAGTAAGGAAGACCACAGAAGACTTGATGCATTTGAGTTATGGTGTTGGAGGAGAATATTTAAAGTATGATGGCCTGCCAAAAGAACAAACAGATCTGTTTTGGAAGAAATAAAGCCAGAACGCTCCTTAGAAGCCAGGATGGACAGACTTCGTCTCTCATACTACAGACTTATTACCAGGGAAGAACCTGTCCGTGGAAAAGGATATCATGTCTGGTAAAGCGGAGGGTGTCAGAGAAACAGAGGAAGACTCCTAACAAGATGGCTTGGTACAGTGGTGGTACCAAGTGGCGATGCAGCAACAATTATGAGGTTGGCCCAGAACCAGGCAGTGTTTCATTCTGTTGTACATAGGCTTGCTATGAATGGGTACTGACTCGTTGGCACCAAATGACAACAACAAGATGTCAAAATTGTTTTGACATGATGTAAAGCACAGAGTGCAAAATTCTTTGGGGGAAGGGTTAGAGAAATGGGAACAATGCCTTTGGAACCCAGATGGAGGACATGCCATGAAATAGTCATTTTATATTTTGATACTTCTGTTTAGTAAAAGGTTCTATGATTTTGTTGAAATACTTTTTGACTTATCTTCATATAAAGTACAAAAGCTAGGAATCACATCAGATCTGCTTAATTCAAAGACAGTATTTAGTTCTCAAAATTAAACTATACATGTAAGACTTCCAATGTTTCATTTTATAATGAAATAGCATTTAATTCATTAAGGCTTTGGTTTCCAAAGTACCTTAGAATAAATGAAAGATGACATCAGCTTGATGAGTCCTAAATCCATTAGCATGCTATTATAGTACTACACTGTGGCTAGCTGACGGAAACTATCAGTGTCACTGCAGGAGCAGCTACAATAAAATGGCAAAGTATTAAATAAAGAAAGGTGAAGAGGATTAGGTGTCAACATTTAGGATTCAAAATAAAAACAATCACCAGCACTGTTGAAATCTTTAAGTCTGTTTTCTAAATCCTCACAGAATATTTAAGCTTGAAAACAGTTTTACATAATAGGACAAGAGGCATGGTTCTAGTTCAAAATCCAAAATCCCTACTTTTATCTTTCAGGTAAAGTGATAAGAGTTGTCTGGTTCTTGTTTCAGACACTTTGAGAGTAACAAGAGGACATCATTTCTGAGAATACTTGTGAGGTCAAAAGCATCTGTAGTTAAGTATCCTCTGCCAACAATACAGCTTTCTTAGCTCCAACACAAAAAACACAATTTCATGGGCTACAGGTAGCAATACTATGTATATTTTTTACTATATTTGTACTAAATTTATAAACAAAAAGGAATCACCTGTATCGAATATTCCTTTACTGTTGTTGTTATGTGCCGTGGAGTCAGTTCTGACTCATAGCGACCCTGTACAGGGTTTCCGAGGCTGTAAATCTTTACAGGAGCAGAAAGTCTCATCTTTCTCCCACGGAACAGCTGATAGTTTCAAACTGCTGATCTTGCAGTTCGCAGCCTGATTCATAACCACTATGCTACCAGAGCTCCTTATTCTTAGATGAATTTAAATCACATTGCTTTTAATAGTGACAGTTTTTAGACTTCTGTGTTTTGTATTCATCGTTCTTACCTGGTCTGTTAGTTGCTGCCATAATAAAAACCTGCTGCCGTGTTTCCAGACCATCCATCTCTGTAAGAAGCTGATTCACTACTCGGACACTTGCTCCTGCCTAAGCCAAAATACAAGTCCATCAGCTCTCAGTAAAAAGAAGGGGAAAAAAAAAAAGCCTAAAGCTCCCACACAAAACAGTGTATTTGCTAATCTTGATGACAGAGTTTTTTCAAAGAGAAAATAATTCCCATTTTCTGAGGACATACTATTTCCAGGCATTGTGCAAAATGTACTCTCATCAATCTGCTCCCAACTCCCAGCAGTACTGTTATTATCCAAAGTTAAAAATGAGGAAACCAAGGCTTAGAGAAGTTGTTTGTCTAAGATCTTACAGCTAGATATAGGTAGAGGCAAACCTTAAGATCAGGTCTAATTAACCCCAAAGATCTAATAGCCACAATGAACTTCCTTTTGGACTAAATAACACCTCAGTTTTTGAACTCTAGGTTTCCCAGGAGATCAGATCTCCCAGACCTCTGAGCACCATAAATGTAAGCATATAGTCCTGGTGTGGTGCTATGGGTTAATGAGCTGGATTGCAAGTTGGTTTGAACAGCAAAGTAGGTGGTTCAAGTTTATCAGTCGCTTTTTGGGAATCCTACACAGGGTTGCTGTGGGCTGGAACCAAGTCAACAACACTTAACAACTATGTGGAGCACTGTAGCTTTTTCTCTTTCCTTGAAGCAAGGCTGACATCCAAGAGAAAGGTTCAAGGAGTTGGTATAAATAGAGGAGGAATACATCAGTTAGATAACAGGAAATACAAAGGAGTGAGAAAAGCACAGGGAATTAGAAAACTGGGGCAGCTTCTTTTTGTCAGTAACTGCTTTCTTTCTTTCTTTTTTGGGTGTCTGAACCATTTATTTCTCAGGACCAAGAGGTGGGCTGGCTGGGAATGGGGAGGACAGGGTCACAGTCAGCAGCAGCAGGTAGGTGTGGTCCTCAAGCGAAGGTGGAACTGCTCCAGTCAACATTGGCCGCATTCATGTCATAGTAGTTGATGTAGATCCTGTCGGGACTGACGCGCTCGGCCAGCAGGCCACACAGCAGCTTGCTGTAGGTGTGGGGTTCTGCGCGCAGACGATTTTGCCGATGCTGTGCAAGCTGCAGAGTGCGCACGGCTCGCTTGATCCCCCGAAGGCCATGAGCTGGTCCAGGACCATGTGCACCCGATGTACTGCGCTGGCTTGCCAGTGGCCTGCGCCAGCTGCTCAGTGAGTTCCGAGAGGAGCCCGTCCCGTACAGAGGCGCGAGGCACATTGGTGTTTACTAACAAACGCATGATGGTGGAAAGACTGACGGGTAGACCAGACTAGCGGACAGACTCACGCGGCGGTAGCAAGCCTGGAACTTGAGCTACGTGGCCGCGGCCTGATCCCGCCCCCGTGAACTTGTGGCCAACTGCTTTCTTTTTTAAACTTTTTATTGTGAATGGAGTGAAAGTTTTCAAAGGAGATCATCAGTTTTACATCCAGCAAATCATACATGTTGTTTCATCTCAATAGTTGCAATTTCCTCAATGTAACGTTACCTAACCCACTTCCTCCCTGTGTTTCTCATTTCCATTCTTCCATTCCTACTTCTTTCCTAATCCTTCTGAATTTTGTCCTTAAGGTAAATGCTGTCCTTATGATCTTGAAAGGCTGAGCATTCTCTATGGGCATACTTCACGAGTACTGTTTTTCTTTCTGTATTCCTATTGGTTGCCTGAGGAATGAGTTCAGTTTCAGGTCTAAATGGTGACCAAGGACAACAGTCTTAGGTTTCCACCAGTCTCTATCTGACCAGTAAGGCTGGTCTTTCTGAAGAGGTTTTGAGTTGTGTTCCACATTTTCTCCCACTCTATCCAAGACCTTCTAATGTGATCCCTTTCAGTACAGTTGGTTGTGGTAGCCAGGCACCATCTAGTCCTTCTGGTCTCAGGGTCATGGACACTGGTGTTGGTGTGGTCCATCAGTTCGCTTGTTTCCAAGTGTCTTCAATTTGCATCACTCTTCTTTCCTCCAGACAAGGAGAGACCAATAGTTGCATCTCAAATGGCTATTCATGAGCTTTTAAGATCTTAGTCTCTACTTCAAGAACACTGACTTTTGTGGACTATGTTATGCCAACTGACCATGGTGTTGACAGAAAATATCTATGGTCCTGAGTCTCGAAGCCCAGTGACACCAAATTCCGTCCAAGTATTTGGTATTGTCTAAGAAATTTTTATAACTTTACTCCCTGTATTTTCTACCACGTTAATGAATACGTTTACAGTAAAGATAAATAAATACCCATACCAACTGGCTTTTTTTCAACATAAATTTTATGTGCATGTGGTACATGTATAGGTGTTAAGGAGTTTAATATAAAGATTTCTCCAGAAAAATACTTAATGCACCTTATTATACTCCTTCATGATAAAAATTAGAAGGTTAAGAGAAAGGATGCATGTGAGTTGTTGCATTTCTCAACTTTGATGGTTTATATTTTTAGTTAGAATTTAGCATACATTTTGGAAATCCTGGTGTAGCATTGTAAGATATACATAGAACAGCTAATTTAACACAGGTTTTTTAATTCATGGGAAAAGTTCTAGAATGATAAATATAAAAACTAAACTGTTAGTAGTGGTAGTGGTATGCCACCGAGTTGGTTCCTACTCATAGTGACCATGTATAGAGCTTCTGAGGTTGTAAATCTTTATGGGAGGAAAGCCTCATCATTCTCCCATGGAGCAATTGCTAGATTCAAACTGCTGACCTTGTGATTAGCAACCCAGTTTGTAATCCCACTTTGCTACCAGGGCTCTTAAACCATTAGCAGTGGTGGTGGTGGTGGTGGTGTGCCATGAAGTCAGTTCCAGCTCACAGTGACCCTGACAGGGTTTCCAAGGCTGTAAATATTTACAGGAGCAGAAAGTCTCATCTTTCTCCTGCGGAACAGCTGGTAGTTTCAAACTGCTGACCTTGCAGTTCACAGCCCGACTCATAACTACGCTACCACTACACCATCAGAGCGCCTTAAACTGTTAGCAGTACTCCCTTCGAAACAGAGTAAGGGGAGGAGAGTTGGAAGGCTCACTATTTGTACTTGTGCTTATCTGAAATGTTCACAAGCATGTGTTCATGTTTAACTTATATACTATAGAAAGAGTACATTCAAATTTAAAATGTTTTTGAATGCATTTCAGGTGAAAGGTAGATCAGAATATGAAAATGTGGTAGCAGCTATCCAAAAAGGAGAAAATCAGAAGTAAAGAATGGCTGCCAACTTCTCTGAGGACTACTGAAACTAATCACAGTTCAACAAAGGCCTCCGAATCTAGACTCACAAGCACTTAACAACAGCAACAACAGATGTCTTAAATCAATCTGCAAATCACTAATCTATGATACTTACCTCTCGGTCTGATCTTCGAGGGCATAAGGCATCCACTTCATCAAAGAATATCACACAGGGAGCTGAGTTCTTGGCTCGCTGAAAAACCTGTCGTACAGCACGCTCACTCTCACCAACATACTGAACATATTCAGAAAGGAAATAAAATGTAGAGGTAGTTTAATTCTGGGGTTGGACCAAATTATAATAAAACTAGCTATAAATGAGATTTATGTCAGAGTCTACAAAGACTATAGAGAGCTCTGTAATCACAATATGCAGAAAACTATCCTCACCATTGGACCAATAAGCAACTCGTGATAAGCGGAGAACAGACTGATGTTGTCAAGGACCTCATTTTACTTGGATCCACAATCAATGCCCGTGTAGCAACAGTCAAGAAATCAAAAGACTAACTACAGTGGGCAAAACTGCAATTAAAAATTTCTTTTTAAGGTGTTAAAGAGCAGAGATGTCACTTTGCAGATCAGGGTGAGCCTGATCCAATCGACTCATACGCATGACAAAACTGGACAAAAACTAAGGACGACCAAAAGAAAAATGGATGTTTTTGAATTATGGTGTTGGTGAAGAATTTGTAAAGTACTACGGACTGCCAGAAGAACAAACAAATCTGAGCTGAAGAAGCACAGTCACAATACTCCTCAGAAGCCAGGATGGCCGACTTTGTCTCTCATACTGACTAAATGAACTCTATGGCCTCTTCTAGCTCAAAAATTTCCATAACTGTATTGTATTTTAGAATGATCTCCTAAGCCTTCTGCATCTAAAATATCGAGCAGTCACTTTACAACTCAATGGCACTTAACAATTTTCACTAATTCATCAGGGTTTTTAACACACACAAGACAAATTACTGCTCTATGCAAATCATCTTGCTAAGGGATAAACTACTTGTCGACAAGTACAGACTCAGAGGAAGCAAACTAAGCCAGCTGGACATCTAATAGGTCCTATAATGGTTTGTCGTTAAGTGCCATCAAGCTGGTTCCGACACATAGTAACCCTATATATTTCTGAGGAATGGTTGGTGGGTTTGAACCACTGACCTTTCAGTTAGCAGTCAGTGCTTATCCTATACTGCCACACCAGGGCTCCATTTTTAGCTAGGCATAAAAAAAAACTCTCCTTGTAAAACTAATTGACAAAGAAAACAGCTTTTCTTAACAAATCAACTAATCAGAATCCAAAAACACTGTTCTGGTGCCAACTATTCCACAATGCTGAAAAGGGACAGAATACATCACAGATGGCAGGGAGTAATTGTTTTATGTTCCAATTAGAGCTTCTTTTCCTTGCATCTGTCCCATTTTCTTTGTACATTGATCATTCTCCTTCCCTTGCTTAAAATGCTTTTCTAACTTACTGCCCAAACATTTCTTATATTGCATTCTAAAGTATCCTCCTCAGTCTTTCTTCCCACTAACTCTCTTTTCTTGACTCTTATACTTTCTACTGTTATAACATCCCAGCTGTTCAACCTTGACAATATTACATTAGAAGATCATTGCAAAGCAGAGGTTATGCCCTTCTTATCTTTTTCTCTATCCTAACATCCTAGCAAGTCTCCTAACATTAGCCTCTCATACTTTGGACATATTTTCAAGAGGGACCAATGCTGAAGTAGAACATCATGGTTGGTAAAATGGAGGGTCAGAGAAAAAGAGGAAGACCCCCAATGAGATGGAATGGCACAGTGGCAACAGCAACAGACTCAAGCGGAACAACTATTTTAAGGATGGTGCAGCACAGGGCAGTGTTTTGTTCTCTTGTGCATAGCATTGCTATGGGTGGGAATCGACTTGACAGCATCTACTATAACACTAATAATACACTAAGCGGAGCCCTGGTAGCACAGACGATTAAGAGCTGGACTGCTAAATGCAAGGCCAGCAGTTCGAATCTACCAGGACATTCAAGGGTAAACGGAGGCTTCTGCTTTCAAAAAGATTTACAGCCTCTGAACCCCTATATAGGATCCCTATGAGTCATAACCGATGAGTCAGTACTCCACCACTACCAACAACATCCTAAGCAGTGTGCAAATACATCGCTAGTGTTGAATGGTTTAATTTCCTGAAAAATCTAATTCAGTAAAGTTGTATTTGGAAAGCGGAACCAAAATATTCAGCAAATAATTTAGAAGAAAAGTTATCAGGGATTGGGAAAGAGAAGGTTTCAGAAGGGGATGGCAGAAAGCAAACAACATAGTTGGCATAGGGCCTTTGGATGTAGCAAACCAGAATGACTCAGAAATAGGAAATTTTATGTGGAAAAGAATTTCAAACTCTCATGGTACTCTGACCTTCTGGAGCCACTGAAACTCGATGACCCCAGTAAACCAAAATTATCCCCTGAAGTATTATAATGCAATTAATGTCATTGAACTGTACATATAGAAATTGTTAACTTGATTCATGTTCTGCTGTGTGTATTTTCAACAATAAAAGACATAAAATGTTAAAACATAATAAAAACAGAAGGAAATTTTAGTTAGAAGATGGTAAAGGAAGCTTTAAAAGATCAGATTAAAACTGACTCAATGGCATTTAACAACTATCTTAGCAAAGGCAGTATCGATAAAAACAAGCAAAAAATTCTATTTTGCCCCGTCTTCTTCTTTTAAAAAGAAAGAAAAGTTTTATTACTGAATAAGCACTAAATCAGAATGGAATGTATCACAGGCAATCTGCTAAAGAGATTGTCTACCATACCCTGCAAGGAGGAATATATGAAGTAAGACTCTCACACTTATTGTTGATGTTAGGTGCTGTCGAGTTGATTCAGACTCATAGTGACCTTATTATGCACATCAGAAGGAAGCACTGCCCAGTCCTAAGCCATCCTCACAAGCATTGTTATGCTTGAGCCCACTGTTGCTGTCACCTTGTTGGGATCTTCCTCTTTTTCACTGACCCAGCACTTTACCAAGTAAAATTGGTACTTGGTAAAGTTGGATGTTCTTCTCCAGGGACTGGTTTCTCCTAAAATCAAAATATGAATGATAGTCTCCCCATCCTGGCTTTTAATGAGATTCTGGCTATACTTCTTCCAACACTGATTTGTGTGTTCTTTACATTGAGATGCATTTCATTTAATATTCTTCTTCAACACCATTACTCAAATGCATCAATTCTTCTTCATCTTCCTTATTCATTGTCCAACTTTCACATGCATACAAAGCTATTGAAAATACCATGGTTTGGGTCATGTGCACCTTAGTCCTCAAATTGACATCTTTGCTCTTGAACACTTTAAAAAGGTCTTGTGTAACAGATTTGCCTAATGTAATACATAATCTGATTTCTTGACTGCTACTTCACTGAGCAATGAAGTCTTCGACAACTTCGATCTTTTCTGCATTTCTCATGATGTTATTTATTGGTCCAGTGGTGAGGATTTTTGTTTTCTTTACACTGAGATACAACCCGTGCTGTAGACTATGATCTTATACTTATTATTTCTGCTTGTCAGTCAGTTTTCAGTCATTATCATCTGGCTTTCATAAACATCATTATAGAAAATGTCCTTGTTAAGTGCCATGAGCCGGTTCTCACTCATAGCAACTTTATATAGGGTTTCTGAGGAGTGGCTGGTAAGTTTGAACAGCCCACCTTGAGGTTCCAACTTACCTTGCAGTCCAGTGCTCTTCCTACAGCAGGACTCCAATCTTCCCAAAAGTCACCAATAATCTTTTAATCGCCAACTTCCAAGTCCTACTTTCAGTTTACTGTTCAGTCATCTTGACAAAATTGATAAAATTATCTGCCCTTGTTATTCAGGCATAGAAAGGCTTGGGTCTCCTCCAGTTTGTCACCAATCACATTCAATCTCCCCTGCTGGCTCTTCCCAAACTGCCTCTATATCGGTGGTATCTTCCAGGGTTCTGTGAAAGACCCTACTTAATGTATTCTTTCAAGGGAAACCATATATTTGCAAGGTTTTCTTCTCCCTCCTCCCGCCCCTTTTGGATTTTTAAAATTTTATTAACTTTGTTCTTGTTAAGAACACAGACAGCAAAGCATACACCAATGCAAGTGTTTCTACTCGTACCATTTAGTGACACTGGTTAATGTTCTTCAAGCTGTGCAGGCCTTCTTGCCCTTCTGTGCTGAGTTGTTCCTCCCCCACTAACATCAAAACCAACTGTCTCTGAAGGTGGTCATTTGCAAGGCTGCTGGTAGTGTAGTGGTTATGAATTGGGCTGCTAACCTGAAGGTTGGCTGTTCGAAACTACCTGCAGTTCTGTGGGAGAAAGATGAGGTGTTCTGCTCCTGTAAAGATTTACAGCCTCAGAAACCCTGTGCAGGGTCACTATGAGTCGGAACCGACTCCATGGTACTTAACAACAACAAGGAGTGGTGCTGTGGGTTAATGTGCTGGACCACAAGGTCGGTTTGAACTGCAAGGTCAGTGGTTCGAGCTCAACAAACACTCCTCAGAAACCCTATACAGGGTCACTATGAGTTGAAACTGACTCGATGGCACTTAACAACAACAACAAGGTCCCACTTAGATGACACTGACTCCCTAATCTCCTCAGCTGTAGACACATTTCCTACTCCCTGTTGGAATTCTCTACCTGGCTCCTTAAACTTGCACTGTCCTGGAGCCAACACGTTATCCCCTGCCCAACACCCTCAGCTGTCCATTTCCTTCTGATCATCAATTCTCTTCATCACATTGCCCACCCCCTACGTTTATCCCTGAAAAACAAATTAGACCACAATGAGATAAGATTTCATGCTAATTCACTAGAAAAAAAATTTAATTCTATCATCAAATCATCGCTCATGAGAATGTAAAACAATGGGAACTCTGATTCACTATTGATGAAAGCATTATTTGATATAACCACTTCATGAAAAAAGTTAACAACTGTTTTTGAAACTGTACATACTCTAAGATACAGCAATTCTAGGCCTAGACCCTGGTGGGGGCTGGGGGGAGGGGAGATCACACAAACATGTACAAGGAAAGGATATACATATACATAAAGTTCATTATCAAGAATATAATTGATATTTTAAAACATATGGTTACATTCATTCAATGGAATACCAAACAGAAAATTAATGAACTGGGAATAAACATGTCAACTAAGATAAATCTGTTAAATACAACATTGAATAGCAGTAACAAAATCAAGCTGGAAAAGAACATACATTATTTAAGTAAAGTGTTTTGTTTTGTTTTTTTCTTTAATTTTTATAAGAAAAGTTTTGAACATGTTATGGCTTGAATTGTGTCACCCCTAAAATATGTGTCAGCTTGGCTGGGTCATGGTTCTCAGTGGTTTGGCAGTTAGGTGATGGTCTTTCATGATGTGATCTGATGTGATAAGCCAGTAAAGATGTGTTCACCCTTAATACCATCAAGACCCTATTGGATATAAGTGAGTGTTTCCAAGGTATGACAGGTAGCACCTTTTATCCAATATGAGATGGAAATGAGCAGAGCACAGATGCTGAAAGAAGACAAAGACCTTTTCCCAGAGCTCACAAAGACTTCCCTTAGAGCCAGCACTCTGAATTTGGACTTCTAGCCTCCTAAACTGTGAGAGAATACATTTCTGGTTGTTAAAATCATCCAACTTGTAATAAATTGTTATTGCAGTAGTTAGATAACTAAGACAAACCACATAACAAAAGCGGACACAACAGGATAAAAAACCCCGCATATATCCATCACCCAGATTCAATAATTGTCAATTCAACTTATGGCCACTTTGCTTCATTTGCACCTCTGTCCATCTTTTTTTCCTTGTTATTTTTGAGAAAATCTCTGACATCATATTTTATTTGTATCATTTCAGAATCTCTAAAAGAATATGAGCATAACTGCATTATCACACTTAATAACAATTCACTAATATCCAATACTCAGTGAAGAGTTCAAATTTTCAGTTGTGTCATAAACATTAAAGGAGCTCTGGTAGCATAGTGGTTACAAATCGGGCTGCTAATCTCACAGTCAGCAGCTCGAAATTACCAGCTGTTCTGTGGGAGAAAGATAAGGCTTTCTGCCCCCATAAATATTTACGGCCTCAAAAACCCTGTACAGGGTTGCTATGAGTCAGAACCAACTCCACGGCACATAACCACCAACCACCACCTTCTTTTCCAAGTATATCCCCCACCAATTAGCTCTTTCAATGCCCATTTCTAATGCACCTTCCACTAAAAACCAAAATCAAAGTAGAAGAAAAATAAAGAGATGCTTAAAACACTTACAAGAAATACTTAAGCGTAAATCTCTTATTTTAGGAAGAAAGTAATATACAGTGGTGGTGATGGTGGTTAGACACCGTAGAGTTGGTTCTGATTCATAGCAACCCTGCATAGGGTTTCCAAGGCTGTAAATCTTTATGTGAGCAGACAGCCTCATCTTTCTCCCACAGAACAGCTGGTAGTTTTGAACTGCTTACCTTGAGGTTAGCAGCCTAACTTGTAACCACTACGCTACCAGAGCTCCTTAATACATGGTAGGACATGCATAAAAAATGGAAGGGATAAATGTTTAAAAATGTTTAAGCATTCTACTTCTAGGTATATACCCATGGCTTCTAACAGTATTCACAATAGCAAAAAAGTGGAAACAACCGAAAAGCCTGTCAACAGATGAATGGATAAATAAAATGTGGTACATAGATACAGTGGACTACTATTCAGTCATGATACATGCCACAACATAAATGACCCTTGAAGGCTTATGCAAAATGAAGCAAATCCATGACAAATACAGTAGTCCCTGGATTAAGAAGCGTTCATTCCTAAATCTGTCACTAAGTCATATACCTACCTGGGTTGGAAAAGTAAGGCTTTTAGATAACATCTGTCAAATGTTTGTGTTAGTGTACAGTTGACCCTTAACAACGCAGGAGTTAGGGCCACCAACACACCATGCAACTGAAATCCATGTATTAACTTTTGACTCCCCAGAAATTTAACTCATAGCTGACTGTTGATTTACTGGTAGCATAAACAGTCGATTAACACATAGTTTGTATGTTACATATGTTACATATTTCACCCACATAAAAGCTGAATTTTCAATACAGGAGAAAAATATATTTTGCAAAAAGTGCAAGGTTTTCACACCTCCAAGTGTAGCTACAACAACGGCTTCATGAATTTCCTTTTCTTTATTCTTTTACAATGGACGTTACACTAGATTCATTTACCTTGAAATCAAGGCAACTATAGCTGCAGACCTCAATCTACAGTACGTATCAAGCAATTCAACATTTTCTTGCAATGTCAAGACTTCTCTCTGCTTCTTGGGAGCACTTCCACCACCACCAGAAGCACTCTGTATTGGTCTCAAGATGTTATTTAAGGTTCCTGGTATTATAGTAAACATGATGAGATGACGTTAGTGTGATACGCAATTTCCTGAAGAGACAACTGCTCATGCTGAGATGATTACCAACCATCACAGAGTAGTTTAAAAAAAAAAAAAAAATCTGCCTATGAGTGGGCCCAAGCCTTTCAAACCTGTGTTGTTTATGTAATGTACCTGTCCATTCTTGTTCTTATTGTTCAGTGCCATCGAGTCTGACTCATAGCAACCCTGTACAGGGCTTTCAAGGAGCAGCTTGGTGGGCTTGAACTGCCAACTTTTCAGTTAACAATCCAGTGCTTATCTCTACAGTGCCACACCAGGACTCCTTTCCACACATAACAGATATTCAAAACACACTTCCAGTTAGAGGAAAACATCCTTAACATAATACACTGATAATAATACTACTTTGATGGTCATTTATTTGTTATCATGAACCAATGTATATGTCCTCAAAATTTTAATATAATAGGTTTTATGGGTGTTGGTTCCTAATGCAAGCCAGACTGCCTGTACTGCATGACCTCACTTACAATATACAGAGCCCAACCAATGGTGCTGCAGAATAAGCAATCAACCACAAGGAAGGTTTAAACCATAAGACTGGTGGTTCAAACCCACTAGCTGCTCCTCAGAAACCCTACACAGGGTCACTATGAATTGAAACTAACATAATAGCACTTAACAACAACAATGACTATTAGTGATTACCAGGGGTGGAAAGGGAGAGAAAGAAAGTAAATTATTCTATGAAAAAGACTGAGCTTATGTTTATGGGGATAGGAAAATGGGCATTAACTAAGGTTAATGCTTGCACAACTTGATGGGTGTACCATGTTGCTAAGTTGTACACCAGAAAAAGAATGAAATGTGTTATATATAATTTTACAGCAACACCAACAAAAAAAGCAGCAGCAGCAGCACCAGTTAAAACTGCCAATACTGCTTAAATACATCCAAACAATTCATGGGATTAGTTTTATTATTACAAAGGTACAAGGTCATTAGGCCAGTTGACTTCCTGGGACTGCCCAGGAAGTTTAATGTTGTTTTTAGAGTTACTGTGTCACACTCTAATTTGGTGAGTAATGTTTGGAATCTTAAAAACTTAGTAGCGAAGATCCAAGATACAATTGGTCTCTAGTTGCCTGGAGTTGTTGAGGAAGAAGGACACTGAGGAAATGAGAGAAGGAATTGGACTGCAGGTCTAATTGCCCACATGAACAATTGACCAGAAAAACTGGATGGTGCCTCGTTACCATTACTGAATATTTTGATCAAGGACTCAATAAAGGAATCCTGATCAAAAGGAAGACGTGGAACAGAATTTCAAACTCTTACAAAAACCAGACCCTACTGGACCTAACGAATCTAGAGGAACCCCAATCTATCATGCTGAGAAAAACCTTCAAACCAGGAACCAAAATTATCCCCTGAGGTCACCTTTAAATTAAACAACAGTTTAGCTAAATTAATAAAGAATGTTAGGCATGAGCACTATGCTCTTTAAAGTTAAGTTTAGAATGTAAAAGAATGTAAGTCTAAGATTTTCATTGTTATATTCTAAAATGGTATCTTTACTTTTTAAGGATGGACAGGAAATAAGAAACTCAAAGTCTTTTAAATTTGAAATGTAATCCAGCTAAATGTAGACAGATACTCTCCTGAAGTATTTTATTCATGAACACATAACTCATACGCATCATACAACAGGACAAAATAAGCAGGGCAGGAGTGAAAGAACCCATGTTCAATTTTAAACACTATTGACAAACTAACCTCTCCAAACTTAAGTTTTCATTCTGAGAAATGAAGAAAATAGTAGTTAAAATATCCTAGGGTTGCTGTAAGAATAATATATGTACAGTGTATAACACTTTAAAATGCGAACTATTTTAACAATTCCATTTTTAGGGGTCCTGATGTGATGCTGTAGGGCAATCACTGGACTGCTAATTGCAAAATCAGCAGTTCAAACCTACTACCCACTAATCTGAAACCCATACAGGGCTGCTATGAGTCGGAATTGACTCCCCGGCACTTACCATCAATTTCTAGGTGAGATAAGTGAGGCTCACAAGTTAAAAAAGAATTTACACACAGTAGGTAACAGAGCAGAGCAAAGCCTAAGCCCTTCCTACAGCAGTGATTTTACCAAAACACCACAAGGCAAGGCACAGTGTTTCAAAGGCCTGAGATTTTATGCTGTAACTTGAATAGTGATTATGTTTTCTAATGGGCAATATACAGCAACTTACCATATTTAGTAATTCAGGACCCTTTACAGATATAAAGTTCAGTCCAGACTCATTTGCCACAGCCTGGCAAAAAGAAACAAAAAACCAGATAAGGCAAATATAGAAAAAAACAGTAACATTAATTTGTGACAATGTAAGAATTTTTGTAGTTTCTACTCTGCTATTTCCCCCCTTTTCTACTTGTCTCTTTATTATTAGAAGGAAAGGAGACAGATGGGAAATGGAAAAATCATGGGAAGTAAATGTTAACTTAATACTTCCTAAGAATTAATAATACAGGCTATATATAAATCACACACAAATCACAGGTTTATGTAGTTAATCTGTTTCCATAAACATGTTTATACATTTTTAACACAACTTTGAACTTCTTGTGAAATCCTAATGTCTGTACTCAAAAAATGCTTTGAATAATGAAAAAATCATTTATTTTTTATAAATCAGAATTCAAAAGCTTCTTTAGTATCAGATCCTAGACTCTTGTATTTCTCCACTATACCACCACCCTTATCCAGACTACCATCATCTCTTGGCTAGACACTGGCAAAAAATCTCCTAACTGCTTTCCTCCAATTCATTCTCCACATGGCAGTTAAACATTTTTTTTTTTAATGTGGATTAAATCATATCCCTTTAAGGTTTCCCATTTATCTTCAGGTACAATCTGAAATCTTTATCATGACTCACAAAGTCTACATTTCTGACATCTTCTCCTTAGTTCAGCCATGGGTTCCTTCCCAGGTTCTCAAACTCATCTAACCCTTCTCCACTTGAACAGATTTTGAAACTGCTCTTCCCTCAGTTTAGAAAACTCTTCCCCTTCCTTTTCATGGGGCTAGTTTCTTCTCCAGGGCACTGTTCAAATATTACCATTCCTATAGGACTGTATCTAAAGCAGTAATCCCGAATCACTCTGTCACAACAATTTGGTTATTTACATCCTACTTTGGCTGAATTTGAAATTTTCTTGTTTTACTTATTTACTGCCTGTTACTCTGAAACAGTAAATTTCATTACAGAAGGTATCACCATCATCCCTAGCATATCAAATAATTTTGGCAAAGAACAGGGAGCAAACCAAAGGAATGCACACATGCTTTGTCATATAAAAGCTGTTCAATATGTTGATTATCCAGGGTTTTGAACCAATTCAGTTATGGCTGATGTATTAAAATCAGAAGAAAAATAAATTTGTAAAATGTAAGTGTACTGGAATGGGAAAAATCACAGGTCTAAACCACAGAATGGGAGACTCAGAAGAGGCAAACTGAGCCCTTCTAGGAACCTGATACATTCAAGGTAGTACAGTAACCTGCTATCTTTGATCTGGGCACTGTTGTTTCATAATCTGCTGTTCAAGAAATTTGGTTGATATGCAACACACATGCTGCCCTTGCTTTCTAAGGAGATAAAAGTTTCTAGCAGGGTGACAACCCACACTTTTCCTATTCTGGTTATCATTCAAATACAGCCACAATTTACAAATTTGGGTTTATTCTGCTTTATCTACAGTGGCACACCAAGGCTCCTTCTACCTATTGTTCTTATTAAGTGCTACTGAGTCAGTTCTGACTCATAACAACCCTGTAGAGGGTTTCTGAGGAATGGCTAGTAGGTTTGAATTGCCAATCAGGTGGTTAGCAGTCCTGTGTTTAACCTACAGCACCACACCAGGACTCCTATTAGATTTTCAAATATCCAAAGCAATGTTAATGCATGCTATTTATTATATAGGGAAACAGATAATCATATCCCAATAATGGGGTGAAACCTGATATAAAGTCTTTGGAAGGATTTTGGTTATGTGAGTCAAAAGATTTAAAAACACTCCTTCTTACTGAGAATTATTTAGAATTTCATTCTGACAAGTTATCAGTCCAGGTACAAAAACATATGTACAGCAATGTTTAATGAGGCATTGTTTTAATAGAGGATAAACCTACACCACTGAGTTAATTACAATTCACAGCAACCCTATGGGAAAGTAGAAAACTGTTCCACAGGGTTTTCAAGGCTTTAATTTCTTCCGAAGTCAACTGCCACAACCTTTCTCCCTCAGAGTGGCTGGTGGGTTCTAACTAACCAGATTTTTTAGTTAGCAAATGAGCATTTTAACCACTGTACTACCGGGGTTCCTCCTCTAGTCATTCCAACCTCTCATCTACTCCCAGCCAGTCAATTCCAATTTACAGCAACCTTGTAAGGCAGAGTAGAACTATTCCACAGGGTTTCCAGGGCTATAATCTCTACAGGAGCTGACTGCCACATCTTCCTCTGTTGGAACAGCTGGTGGGTTTGAACCGTTGACTTTCTGGTTAGCAATTGCATGTATAACTTTCATAAATTATAGAGCATCTTTATGGTAGACTATCAGGCAGGCATTAAAAATGGTGAGGCAGGATGCTCAGAAAATATTTCTATGTTAGAAAAGCTTGATTCCATACCTTATATTCACAAAATAAATATATATGTGTATATATATTTATCTTGGAGTCCTGTTGTGGGCTAATGAGCTGGACTACAAAGTCAGTTTGAACCACAAGGACGGTAGTTCAAGTTCACTAGTTGATCCTTGGAAACCCTATACAGGGTCACTATGGATCAGCACCAACTCGATGGCACTTAACAACAAAAACATATTTATCTTGCTATGTATATATGTACAGAAAAACATCTGGAAGACTGACAACCAAATGTGATACTGATTAGTAATAAGAAAATAGTAGTGGATGGATTATAAATGTTTTACCTTTTGCTTATTTCTATTTTCTGTTGTGAAAAAACATTTTTTTAAAAATCACAATTGTAAGGGATATAGAGGAAAATGCTTAAGCTATAAAATAATAATTAGACCTAAACAAGAAACAAGTATAACCATATACAACTATGTAATAATAAAAAATAAACTAGAATGTAAATACAGTTAGAATGTTTAAAAATAGTAACACCACTAGAAAGTATCGTAATTACTGTGTTAAGATTCAGGAGTTTATGGTACACTTAAAAAATGTTTTTTCTTTCAAATTTTCAATGACATACCTTTTATAATTTAAAATAAAGTTGTCAACTTTGCTAAAATGAACTCTGAGTAAAAAGTATACAAAAGATTTACTGACTGCAATATTTAAAGTAAAATTCATATTATTTTACCTTATAGTTAAGAAATAATTTCATGCAGCAAGCAGTTAACTTACACCATACCTTCGCCAGGAGAGTTTTACCACAGCCAGGAGGACCAGCAAGTAGGACCCCAGCTGGAGTCATCAATCCAAGTGCTTTGAACTGATCTGGGTTACGTACTGGAGCCTAGAAAGAAATCAGCCCAACAACTCACTACAGGTGCGTTCCCTAGTGCATTGTCCTAAGTACCTCCAAATGAATATTTGCTACAATGATCTTGAAGCCCAAAGATATGAAAGGTGCATGGCACAGAATAAGATATATCGTGATAAATGAAACAGTCCTTGCTGTCAAGGAATTTATATTCAAATTTAAGTAATGAAGACATTTTATACAGATAAAGATACAATAATTCATCATTTCAAAGACACTCTAGAAAACCACAAAACCTCTAGGTTATAAAAATTTTAGGCAAAGCCCTACTTAAAAGAATCAAAAGTTGCATTACTCAAGCAATCAAAGGCTAGAGATGTACTGAACTGCACTACAATTTCTCTTTTAGTAGGTCTACACCTCTACATATGCTCTCTGGTAGCATAGTGGTTACGAATAGGGCTGCTAACCTCAAGGTTGGCAGTTCAAAACTACCAGCCGTTCCGTGGGAGAAAGATGAGGCTTTCTGCTCCTGTAAAGATTTACAGCCTCGGAAACCTTGTACAGGGTTGCTATGAGTTGGAACCGACTCCATGGCACACTACCACCACCACATCTCTATATGGATCACAGATCAATTAATTAACCATGGAATGATCAGGAAAGTTAAAAAAAATAGGAGTAAATGAAAATAAATTCGAAGTTTCATATGGGTTAAAAGTGCTTCTTTATATTTAAAAAAGTGATCTAAGTTCAGAAAATGTCTCAGACCATTTGGTTTTGGATGAAATTTCAATTGTTTCATTTTAAAATTCCCTACCACAGAAAATAATAGTAACCTAAACACTAAGTCTAAAAGAAATCTCAAACGAATGAGATACCATTGTTGGGGGCTTAATGATATAACAGATTGCTCAAAAGAACACAAGTCCATTTAGGCATCTCTGGTAATCTGCTCACTGCACCCTTCATTTATTAACACATACACACCTACCAATATTGCCATGGTGAGCTCCTCTCGAATATCTTCCAAGGCACCAATATCTGCCCATGTCACATTAGGAACAGTGACAAAGCCTTCCCTTTTGGCAGAAGGTTGAACGGAGGCTAGAGCAACAATGAAATCATTCAGTTCAATGCACAGTCCCTGTAGCAGATCCTCAGAGAGAGGATCTTGGTCTCTTAGCAATCCCAGCAGTCTTTGTAATTCACCCTAAAAGAAAGAGTGGGAGTGAGGAGGATGATTTAAAGTCACAAATTTTATTAGAATAGTTACTTTTTAAAAAATTATTATAGCATTATTTCTGTAAACTATAAAAACTATATTACAGCATTATTTCTATGAACTTCTATATATTTTAATGATTTTCTCAATTGACAGGAGACTTATGCTTATTTTATTCTATAAGGATCATCTAAGTCAAAACACCTACTACACTCCAGTACATAAAAGTTTCTGTATACTATATATATGCATATTAGGACTAGACATGGCAAATAGCAACAAAAAGCAAACATTTATTTCAGCAACTATAACTTCATTTCTTCATTTATAACTATTCAAGAAACAACTGAATTATTATAAAGTTAAAAATAAAGTTATTCTGCTGGTAGTATAATTGCATAATATAGTTCCTGGTAGTTTATGAACTATAGAGTGGGCAACTTTTCTGTGGACTTCAATGAAGCTTTTAAAATACAGCGTAAACAGGGTAGACAGGAATGGGCTACTTGGACATTAGCTACGCAAAATGGAGGGGCCTACAATGGCACGAAGTGACTGCCTTACAAGCTTTCAAGAGGGAGCCTAGATCCAGAGGTTGCAGAGGAAGGTAGAATCTCCAATGAGTAGTATCCAGTCTGTCTGGGCGGGACTGATGAAAGGAGATGTGGATAGGTTTCATGTGGTACAACAGTGAATACTTAGTTATCAGTACTGACTGTGAGGGTTGGAAATGTAAAGGTAGACATTTTGTAGCAAAAGGAGGGGAGTGGTTGACTTTGCAGCCCAGGAGCGGAGGACCCTAGGGCCATCAAGGGTGAAGAGTGGAGTGCAGGACCCTACCCAGAGAAACAGTGACTCCAGAGAAGGAAGCAGAGATGATGATGTGGAGAGACTGAACACCTGGAAACTTCAGACCCAGAAAGGAAAGAGGGGCTGTGTGCTGACAACCAGGGGGTAGGCTTGCAGGGTATACCATTTGGTTGGTTGATGATGCATGGAGGGGATGTAACCATGGCAACAAAACGATATATGATAGGATGAATGTAACGTTAATGTTCTCCTGTGTAAACTGTCACGTAATTCACAATAAAACTTTTTTTTTTTAATTTTAATTAAATCTTCAGGACTCCCATGGAGGGGGGGTGGACAGAGTGTAAATTATTCACTGAAGGCAGATTTCTTGCTTTGTGAAGATTATAAAAGCATAAGTATAAAAATAAGCAACTGAGTAATCCAATTTATAAAATCCTTATTTATATATATAGAAGACAAGAAATGAATTTATCATTATTTTAGACAGAAATCATTGTGGTTCCAAATAAGTAAGGAGAAAGTATGAAAGCAAAAGATCTGGATACAAGTCTCTACTCTGAAAACTAGAAGCTATGTGGTCTAAGGTAAGTTACAACCTCTTAAACTTAATTTCTTCAATTATAAAATGAGAAAAGTAATGCTATTTACTTCACAAGGTTATATGTTATTGTTATGTGCCGTTAAGTCAGTTGGTGAGCTTGAACTGCCAATGTTGCAGTTAAAACATCTATATGGATCAGAGTATATAATGCACAGAAGTCCCATTTGCAAACTAAACAATGCTATATAATAAAGTTAGATTGAGTTTTCTTGGCTCAGAAAACATCAAAATTTAACACTAATTTTGGACTGAAACAACCTTTTCACATTCCTGCAGAACTACTTGCAGCTAGACACAAGGACATGATTTAGGCAACAAACTATCCTACTCTACTTAACCAAAAGTTAGAAAATCTGGAGTTGTTAGTTAGGAAATAGGAAATAAACTCAATGTCCAATGCACTATGTTGCTCTACACTTTGTCTGTGTGGGCCAGATAGCAAACATTTGAGGATTTCCTGTTACCAGGGCTCAATTCTGCTCTTGAAACATGAAAGCAGAAACAGGTAATACGTAACCAATTGCGCATGGGTGTGTTCCAACATAACTCTATAAAAACTGGCGGTGCATGATGGTTAGCCAAGTCCTGCTCTAAGACTTCATAGTCATTATTATAAAGTAAATTTGTTTAGAATAAACTTGAAAAGGGGGAAAAAACTTGTGATTTTGGGATTATAGATGTTTAGTTGTAACTGATAATTAGTATACAGTTAAAACACCAATAAGAAAGAAAATATAAGTCTCTATGGTGCCACAGGGTCAGTTTGAACGCCGGAATCCACTTACCAGCACTTAGCAACAACATATTGACACTTGACCTGAATGTAAGCTGACAGAAACTAAACCTATTTAAAGGGCAATAGACAGTACCTGCTTTTCAGAAGTGTGCTCGTTTCCTACTGTCCATTCTTGTTGGCCTCCTGCATTAGGCAGATCTTCAGTCTCAGAATCTTTCTTCTGCTGCTCCTCTAGTTTCATCAAGACTCTACTGACTGCACATGTTGCTGCCTCCCGGCACAGCGCCATCAAGTCAGCACCAACAAAGCCTGGTGTTAGATGTGCTAAGTGATGAAAATTAAAAGCTTCAGGAAGTCGTAGTTTCCTGCACAAAGTCTGAAGTATTCTGCAGAGAAAACAAAGAAAAAACTAGCATCTAACCCAGTAACAGTAGATGAAATGCTCTATGTTGCTCTAAATGTTGCTAGAGATAGATCAAGTATTTTATCCACACCACACTATACTTAGTAGTCATCACTCCTTAGACTCCTTTTGGGTATGACAGTTTCTAAGCCTTTCTTTGTTGCTGATAATCTTGACAGTTTTGAGAATTACTGGTTCAGTATTTTGTAGACTATTCCTCCATTGGGATTTGTGTGGTATTTTTCTTACGGCTATACTGGGGTCATGTATCTTTGAGAAGAAAACCTCAGAGGTAGAGTGCCATTCTCATGACTTCCCATCAAGGATGCACACTATCAACATGATTTATCTGTTGAAGTTAATCTGACCATTTGCTTTGAAAGAGTGTTCGAAAGCTGTTCTACAGAAAGCTGTTACACTCCCTTCTCCAACCACTTCCCAACTTCCTCTTTGGAAGGAAGGCACTACATACAGGCCACACTTTAAAACGTGTGGAGTTACACTCTACTATTTTAAGGGTGAAGTGGCTACACAATTTGTCTGGATTTCTTGCATATGTAAGATGTGTCCATTAGCACTCATCTTTTTATTTATTCAATCATTTCATTATGTTAGCATGGACTTATGGATATTTGACTCTCTGAAATCGTGAAATATAATTTATGAAGAAACCAGACAGACGGCCCAGGAGACAATGCCAAAATTCACTGTGTGCAGAGAGGGGCACTAATGGAGAGCAAGAATACTTGTCTTGTAGAACTCCAAAACCTTAGGAAATGGTGGCACCAAAGTCTTAGACACATAATCCTTGACAACTTCAATACTGTCTTCATTTACTAGGATGCTGCTGGCTAGTCCAGTTGTGAGGTTGTATTTGTTTTTTGAAGTTGAGCTGTAATCCATGGAAGCAACAGTCAAGAAGACAAATGATCAGTTGTGTTGGGCAAATCTTCTGCAAAAGACCTCTTCAAAGGTTTAAACAAAACTAAGATGTCAATTTAAGGACTAAGGTACACCTGACCCAAGCCATGGTTATTTTTAATTGCCTCATAGGCATGGGGAAAGCTAGACAACGAATAAAGATGAACAAAGAATTAATGCCTTTGAATTATGGTATTGGAGAAGAATACTGAATATACCATGGACCAGCAGAAGAATGAATAGTATGTATTAGAAGTACAACCCAGAATGCTCCTTAGCAGTGAGGATGATGAGACTTAACTTTACCTACTTTGAGCATGTTATCAGTGAGAACCAGTCCCTGGAGGAGGACATCATGCTTGGTAGAGGACCAGTGAAAAGAGAAAAATCCTGTCTCTAACCCTGCTGCTAGAAAATCCAGGTGCAGAAATACCACACAAGTGAATGGCTTTAACAAACAGAAATTTATTTTCTCATGGTTTAGGAGGCTAGAAGCCTGAATTCAGAAAGGTCCTTGTCTCCTTTCAGCATCTGTAGGCTCACCATTCCTTACAGATATCCATGTGTGTTCGCATAAATCATTCCTTGGATCTAGGAACTTCAGTGTAGGGACCCCAGGTACAAAGGATGTGCTCCACTCCTTGTGTGAGTCCCTCTTTCTCTGCTCAATTCTCTCTCTTTTTATCTCTTACAAAAGGTATTGTATACCACTTCCCTGCAGAACTCCCTAACATTAGAGGATGAGGTCTCTGAATCAGAACTGAGTCAAGGGCACTTAACAACAACACCTCACCATTAATCTTCTTATCAACTGATGTTGTTAAGTGCCGTCGAGTTGATTCTGACCCAAAACGACCCTGTATAGGGTTTCCAAAGAGCCACTGGGTGAGCTTGAAGCACCAACCTTGCAGTTCAAACGACTTTGCAGTCTGGTGCATCAGATCAATCATGAGGGGTCGCTGCATAACTGCCATGCAAACCACTGGGAATCATAGCCCAGCAGAGCGCACACATATTTCAGGAGGACACAATTCAATGGATGACAGACCCTCAACAAGATGGACTGACACAGTGGCTGAAACAACACTAGGTTCAAACATAGCAAACACTGAGGATGATGCAGGACCAGGGGATGTTTCACTCTGCTGTACACAGGGTTGCTATGAGTTGGAATCCACTCAAGAACACCTAAGAGCAACAACAACAAATATTTGATATATATATATTTTTTTTTTCTATTTAAATTTTAAAAAAAGAAGAAGCAATCCCAAAAAATTGAAAGCAAAATGAGCACATAAAATTAAAATCTATGTATCAAGCTACGGTGGCCTGGTGGCACAGTGTGGGTGCTCGGCTACTAACTGAAGGTCAGTAGTTCGAACCTGCCAGCTTTTCCTTGGGAGAAAGACATATTAAGTTAGTGATATAACTAGAGAAAATAAGTCAGAATACTGTCATTTGATTTTATATTGTTCCTGTTACACTGTACCCTAGTAACAACAAAAAGAACTGCAAAACTGTTTAAATTGATATTCAATAATCATGTGGTGGTAGTTTTGTTTCCCCAGAGACTGTTATATATGTATTATAAGATATAAAAAGTTAACTATTTTGATATCATTGACTATTAGGACTTATGGTAAGAAAGGAAATCTAAATGTAAGATTAATAATAAATTAAAAACCATGCAGTCCTAAATTTAAAAGTCAGTATAAACTCATATATTTAATTTGTAAAGCCATATTAAAAAAAAAAGTCTGTGCATGTATGCATATTTACTTAGTAGCTCTGTGCACTGAAAAGATATACGGTGTAGAAATAATGACTAGTATAGTAGTAATGAGTATTGTTGTTGTTATTAGGTGCTGTCAAGTTAGTTCTGACTCATAGTGACCCTACGCACAACAAAACACTGCCTACTCCTGAGCCAGCCTCACAATTGTTACGTTTGAGCTCATTGCTGCTGCCACTGTGCAAGTCTATCTCGTAGGGGGTCTTCCTCTTTTGCGCTGACCACCCACTTTGCAAGACTGATGTCCTTCTCTAGAGACTAGTTCCTCCTGATATAAGTCTGATGTATGAGAGACTAAGTCTCATCATTCTGGATTCTAAGGAGCATTCTGGCTGTACTTTTTTCAACACAGATTTGTTTGTTCTTCTGGCAGCTCATAGTATTTTTAACAATCTTCTCCAACATAACAACTCAAATGCATCAATTCTTCTATGGTCTTTCTTCTTCATTATCCAATCTTCATATGCATATGAAGTGGTTGAAAATACTGACATTTTTGCTCTTGAACACTTTAAAAACAGATTTGCCTAATGCAATATGTAATGTGATTTGTTAACTGCTGCATCCATGGGTGTTGATAGTGGATCCAGGCAAAATGAAGTCTTTGATGTTTTCAATCTTTCCTTCATTTATCATGATGCTATTTATTGATTCTATGGTAAGAATTTTTGTTTTCTTTACACTGAGGTACAATGAGTACTCCTAGAGTCCAGGTTATGGCCCCTAAATATCATTTCCTATTAAAAGGAACAAACACATGAATATCACCTGTAAGTAATGTGCTGCTTTAAAAAAAAAAATCACCTATATGACACCAAATAGCCAACAATTACTTTAAAACTAAGATAAGAATATAAAGGGGCAGCAAAATGAAATGAATGGAAATGGAAGAACCAGAAGAGAAATAATGAGAATGTACACACATTGTGAAGAATATAACCAGTGAACAACCATGCAGAAACTGTTGAAAAAGAACCGAAACTGCTGTGTAAATCTTGACAGGCAACACAACAAAGTATTACTATATAAACAAATGAGAGCAAGATAGAGAAAGCCGACATGCCTTACAAAAATATCTAATGCCAGGTCAGGTACAGGAAATGGTCAAGATCAATCAGCATTGGTCATCTTGTATTGCTAGACAGCAAGGAGGCTATCAAAATGGTGGCAAATGCAAACTGCTAACATTTGACAAACTAGACTTTTGCACCTATGAATGTGCTAAAGTGGTGTTGGTGGTATGCCGTGGAGTTGTTTCCGACTCAGAGCAGCCCTGCATAGGGTTTCCAAGGCTGCAAATCTTTACAGGAGCAGAAAGCTTCATCTTTCTACTGCAGAACAGCTGGCAGTTTCGAAATGCTGACCTTGAGATGAGCAGTCCAACTCGTAACCACTAAGCTACCACAGCGCCTTACCTATGAATATAGTGACTCAAAATTCCAACTATAATGGAAGGATTCTTCATATTAAGGAACAGTCTTTTTTGTTTCCTCAGTGTACTGGGTTCATGTTGTTGCTGTTGTTAAGTGCTGTTAAGTCAGTTCTGACCCACAGCAAACCTGTATAAGATTTCCAAGGAGCAGCTGGTGAGTTTGAGCCACAGACCTTGTGGTTCAAAAAGACTTTGCAGTCTAGCACATTAACCCACAGTGCCAAACTGGGTTCACAGGGATGAGAAATCTAGACATTGGCTATTAAAAATGGGAGCTAAAAAGGTATGAAGTGGCTGGCTTACAAGTTTTCATGAATGTGCTTAATTGCAGGATGAGGGGTGTGCATGTGGAAGAAAGACACAAAGCAGAAAGGATAAGAAAACAAGATCCTTCAATATGCTGTCTATAAGAGACACATCCAAAAGATGGAGACAGTCTAAATACCCAACAATAGAAGAATGGTTAAACAAACTTTGGTAAATATACACAATGGAATACTATAAAATGTTTGACAATAATGATGAATCTGTGAAACACCTCACAACTTGGATAAAACTGGATGACATTATGCTTAGTGAAATTAAGGACAAAAGGTCAAATATTGTATGAGACATAAGATGTAAAAAGTTAAGCAGGGGGAAGGTTTTCTTGGAAAAGAAATAATCTATCATGGTTAAGGGGGAGGTAAAATTATTCATGGGCAAGAGAGTAGACACATGTTAACCTGGGTGACAAGGAAGGCAATATTTAACAAGAGGGAGGTTAGCAGAGCAAAGATGAAGGTATTGGGAGACACAAGGAGGAATGCGATAAATAAAGTAAATAGAAGTAAATACTGTTAACTCTTGGTACATGGAGGGGATATCTGGGTGTGGCAATGAGGGTTAATGTGCTGGAATGCAAGGTTGGTTTGAACCGATGTGGACGGTTCAAGCTCACCAGAGGTCCTCAGAAACCCTATACAGGGTACAGGGTCACTACGAGTCAGAACTCACTTGATGGCACTTACCAGCCATAACAATCTATTTGATAATCAATGCTTAATTTGTACTGTCTATGACCAGAGGGAACTCTTCAAATTGATTATTTTGATACAACTTAGTATTCTAATTTTTCAACTTTTTACTTTTTCAATTAAAGGTTTACAGAGCATATCATCAGTTTGCTTCATTTTGTTGTTGTTGTTGTTATATGCCATCAAGTCGATTCCTGTATAGGGTCTTCAAGGAGCAGCTGCTGGTGGGTTTCAACCTCTGATCTTGTGGTTCAAATCCATCTTGTATTTAGCAATCTGGTGCTGATCCTACAGTGCATCCATTTAATAATGATAATGATTTAAAAAAAAAAAAATCTCAGGTTACCTTCTGAGGAAGGACAATGCTTTATAGTGGACACTAGTACATAAAAAGAAAGAATCAAGTATTTATCCCACCTGTGCAATGTAAAAAAATATTTGAAAAGGTAAAGTTTTGCTTTATGGAAATTCTCTAGCTAACAAATGAAGAAAGATTAAATATTGTTGTACAACATTCTGAATTCATTATTAATAGGTGGTAACATCACAAAAAGGTAAATGATCAGATAGTATGTATTTCTGGTGTGGCACTGTTGGATAAGCACTGGGCCACAAGGTTGGTTTGAATTGCAAGGTAAGAGATTCAAACTCACCAACTGCTCCTTAGAAACCTTATACAGGGTTGCTATGACTTGGAACTGACTCAACAGCACTTAACAACAACAATGTATCTTCAACTAAAAATACACAATCTCTATCTGTTAAGTATTCTTGTCCCTTCTCACCTCAAACGAAAAATAAGTTTTATCAAGTCTTCAGATCTAATTCCAATTAATGGAAATGAGGAGGACAGCAAAGCATGTTAATCTAAAGCATTAGGATACAGACTAATGTATACAAATGGTTGGAATTGACCAACAACACTTTTTCTATAACAAAAAAAGAGGGGGAACTTGAAAATTAAAATAAATTTAAGTAACATTTTAAACAAATGTAACGTATGAACCTGGTCTTGATTCTAGTTTCAACAAATTGGAACTGTAAAGCAACATTTGAGAAAACTCGAGATATCTCTGAAAATGGATTGGATATTAGATATATTAAGAAATTACTTGTTAGGTATACAATGGCATTATGGATATGTTAAACAAAAAGTTTATCTGTTAAAGATACTGAAGAATTTGTTGTTGTTATTGTTGTTAGGTGCCATTGAGCCAGTACTGACTCATAGCGACCTTATGCAGAGCAGAATGAAACAATGCCCGATCCTAGGCCAACCTCACTATGGTTGCCACACTTTAAGTCCATCGATGATGCCACTTAGCCAATCCATCTCATTGGGGGTCTTCCTCTTTTTCTCTGACCCTCCACCTTACCAAACATGATATCCTTCTTCAGAGACTGGTCTCTCCTAGCAATATGTCTAAAGTATGAGAGACGAATTTGACCATCTTGGCCTCCAAGGAGCACTCTGGCTGCACTTCTTCCAAAATGGATCTATTGGTTCTTTTGGCAGCCCATGGCATTTTCAATATTCTCCTCCAACACCATAACTCAAAAGCATCAATTCTTCTACAGTCTTCCTTATTCCAGCTTTCACATGCATATGACTAACTGAAAATACCATGGCTTGGGTCAGGTGCACTTTAGTCCTCAAGTTGACATCTTTGCTCTTCAACACTTTAAAAAGGGCTTGTGCAGCAGGTTTACCTAATGCAAAACGTTGTTTGATTTTGTGATTGCTGCTTCCATGAGTGTTGATAGTTGATCCAAGAAGAATGAAGTCCCTGACAACTTCAATCTTTTCTCTAATGATACGAATGTTGTTTATTGTTCCAGTGGTGAGGATTTTTGTTTTCTTTACATTGAGATGTAATCCATACTGAAGGCTGTGCTCTTTGATCTTCCATCAGTAAATATTTTAAGCCCTCTTCACTTTCAGCAAGCAAGGTTGTATCATCTGCATATCGCATCTTGTTAATGACTCTTCCTCCATTCCTGATGCCACATTTTTCTTCATAGAACCAAGCTTCTCGGATTACTTGCTCAGTATACAGGTTGAATAAGTATGGTGAAAGAATACAATCTTGTCGCACACCTTTCTTAATTTTAAACCATTCAGTGTTCCTATGTTCTGTTTGAACAACTGTCTCTTGGTCCAGGTACAGATTCCTCATGAGCACAATTAAGTGTTCTGAAATACTCATACTTTGCAATATTGTCCATAGCTTGTCATGATCCACACAATCAAAAGGCCTTGCGTAGTCAATAAAGCACAGGTAAACAGCTTTCTGATATTCTCTGTTCTCAGCCAAAATCTATCAGACATCAGCAAGTGTATCCCTCTTTCCATGGCCTCTTCTGAATCTGGCTTAAACCTCTGGAAGTTCTCTGTCAATGTATGATTGTAGCCGTTTCTATATTACGTTTAGCAAAACTTTACTTGCATGGGATATCAAAGAGATTGTCTGATGATTTCCATATTCTGTTGGGTCACCTCTCTTTGGAATGGGCACAAACATGGATCTCTTCCAAACAGTCGGCTAGATAGCTGTCTTCCAAATTCCTTGCCAGAGATGAGTGAGTGCCTCCCGTGACGCCTCACTTTCTTGAAAGATTTCAATTTTTATTCCATGAATTTCTGGTGCATTGTTCTTTGCTAATTCCTTCAAAGCACCTTGGAATTCCTCCTTCAGTATTATTGGCTCCTGATCATATGCTACTACTTAAAACAGTTGAACATTAACTATTTTCTTTTGGTACACTGACTCTGTGTATGCCTTCCATCTTTTCTTGATGCTTTCTGCATCATTCAATAATTTGCCCACAGAATCTTTCAATAGTGAAAGTCAAGGCTTGTATTTTTTTATTCAGTTCACCCAGCTTCAGAATTGCTGAGCATGTTCTTCCTTTTTGGCTTTCTGATTCCAGATCTTTGCACATTTTGTTGTAATATTTGGCTTTATCTTCTCAAGCTGATCTTTGAAATTTTCTGTTCAGCCCTTGGACCTCCTCATTTCTTCCATTTGCTTTAGCATCTCTATGCTGGAGACCAAGTTTCAGTGTCTCTTCTCACATCCATTTTGACCTTTTCTTTCTTTCTTGTCTTCTTAATGACTTTTTGCTTCCTTCCTGTATGATGTTCTTGATGTCATCCCACAACTCTTTTGGTCTTCGGTCTTCAGTATTTAATGTATCAAATCTGTTTTCAGATGATCCCTAAATTTAGGTGGGATATATTCAAGGTCATAGTTGGCTCTCATGGACTTGTTTTCATTTTCTTCAGCTT